TGTGGAAGGGTGGAACAGAACTGTGATGCCTTAGTATCACTTCCTCTTTCACCTGGTCAATTGCAGGGATAAGGGTCATCCAGCATCTGCCCGACAAACTATCAGCCCCATCAGTAGGCTATCATGCTCACATTGATCCCTTCAACACATATTTTATGGCATATCTTATGGCTGTAGGCCTTATTCTTACAGACTTTCAAGAGGCAAATCACAAAATTATGTCAGGAAACACATCCTAAACGGGTGGAGGTTTTATCTGTTTTATTGTTGAGAATCAAGATAACTCTATGGGTTAGAGAGGGAGAAAGTCCCTTCAAAGTATTATATGGAAAACCATATCCTGCCAGGAAATCAAACTGACCAAATGCACTTAGATGGGGAGGGGATTGTGAGAAATTATTTGCTGTCTCTTTCTCAGGCATTACCCTCCCTGTATGGGTATCTCAACCAGTGGGCTCCACTTCTGGACTCTCCAGTGCATTATTTCTCCCTCTCCCCCCTGTATAAGCTAACCCCCACAACAAACAAACAAACAAACAAAAAGACCCCAAACCCCACCTCAACTCTGTTCCATCAGGAAACTTTTGTCCATCAAAACTGATTTATCATACCAATAAAATTTACTTTAAATAAAGCTATACATACTGTACACTTCTGTCAGAAACTCTCTTCAACTATCAGATACTGAGACAAAATAACCAAGGTTCCCTTAATGCATGATTGCCAAAAAACATAAAAATTAAAAGATATTTGCACCTTGACACCTTGCACTTGTGGTCAGCATTACAAATTTGCAAAACAGGACCAGATACCATTTACAAATATTTAGCTTAACATACACAGAGACCCTTTCAGTGATTCCAAACCAATTCCAGATGAGAAATTGCTGCAATTTAAAAAAACCAAAAACCCTCTGCATTTGTTATATTGTACAATATTTACCAACTTCAAAATAAAAGGGGAACAAAAATGAGTACACTGATTTATTTAGTACATCAGATTAATTTCTTACAAGGCTTAAAAAGACCCCACATAACACAAACCCCCACTTTAGTAGGATTAGAAACTGGTCTCATGTTGACATCTCAATCTCAGGAGTTTAAACCCAAAGCATTAAGAGAAATCTTCCACTTTGAGATACAGTAATACAACCTTGCATTATGGGGACAGTGTGTGACACTTGAGGATAAAGAACCGGTTGTAACATGTACCTACGTATTAGGCAGACTACACCATTTCCCAGTTCAGAACACAGTTACGGCAGCTCCAGGGCTTAAGCAGCTTTACGTTTGTTCAAATTCTGTGCTGTACATATTCATAACTGGAACCAGTTGGCCTGGATTAGACTATTCTTATAGGTGTAGCTAGCATTTTTCAGTTAGACAATGACAACAACTCGCATTCATTTTCAGGGTCAAGACTTTACTGTTCATAGTAATGCCTTGTTTCCAGTCTCTAATCAGGAGAGCAATCTTTGAAAGAAAGTAGGTAATGAAGTTGACTTTGAAGAGAATGCTCATTGTTGAAAGCAAATATTTTATGACATAGTTTATTGTGCAATGTTTACATCTATTAGTGTTAGATGAAAATGGAACTGTGGATAATTACATCCAGTTTACAAGAGAGTACATAGTTTTGTGCAAGTATTAGCTGAGATTTTAACATTTAAGGTTCAATTTTGTTCTGAAAACATTGCAAAAACCATAACTGTGGTAGGATTTATGACATTGGTAACAGAAGTCTACTGTTAAAAACTTTTTGAATCCCAAGCACAAGTAAAGGCTAGGCGTAAAATCAATCAAGAATTAGCCCTGGGAGGACTGAGGATGGTTGTGGATGAGAAGCTTGATGAAGAATCACAGAATGGCTGGGGTCAGAAGGGACCTTAAAGATCATCTACTTCCAACCCACTTGCCATGGGCAGGGACACCTTCCACTAGACCAGATTGCTCCACGCCCCATCCAACCTGGCCTTGAACACTTCCAGGGATGGGGAATCCACAACCTGTGGGCAACCTGTGCCAGTGCCTCACCACCCTTATAATAAAGAATTTCTTCCTAAGATCTAATCTAAACCTTCTCTCCTTCAGCTCAAGTCCACTCCTCCTTGTTGAAACCTCCCTCATGGGTCCCCCTGATGGGGAGACCCCTAAAAAGTTCTGTGTCAGGAATGAGAAACAGACAGGACTCTTGGTTTTTTGGGTCTTCAGGTTGTTGGTTATTTTTTCTTATCAAAAGTTCTGCATGCCATCTACATCTCAGACTTAGCATACAAAGAAAAGGCACCAAAAGCTACAAGACACACAGATTCAAGGTCTTTTAAAGCTATTTTGTCCAATTAACTCTTAAAATAAACTTTATTTCTATCTTTCTACCAATAACTAATTATTTTTCTGTCCATGCAACATCTGCATTGCAGTTCTTTCTAACCAATCACCCTGTGCTCCCAACACTGCAGAAAATGGAGTAAATGAAGAACAAGGAGATCGGACAACGCCCAAAATCCTCCATCTTGTCTCCGATCTACCTCCATACTAAAACGCCAAAACTTTAAGTTTTTCACCCTGTGATAAACTATACTACTATCTATTTCACACACTCATAGATTCCAATTAATCCCAAAGTCTTGGAAGCTTTCTCCATGGACGAAGGTTAAAAGCAGTGTTCTCCTGGGGATCAGGACTTCTCAGGACAGGCAGAGAAATATTCCCTGTGCCCTGGGTTCCAACACTCCTTATCCTATCACTGCATACCCAGCTGATTCAGGGAGGTGATTCTGCCCCTATACTCCCTTCTTGTGAGATCCCACCTGGAGTCCTGCATCCAGCTCTGGGGCCCCCAACACAAGAAAAGACATTGACCTTTTAGAACAAGTCCAGAGGAGGCCACAAAGAGGATCGGAGGGCCGGAACACCTCCCTATGAAGACAGGCTGAGAGACTTAGGGCTGTTCAGCCTGGAGAAGAGAATACTCTGGGGTGACCTTATTGCAGCCTTACAGTACATAAAGGGGGCCTACAAGGTACATGGAGAGGGACTTTTCACAAGGGCATTGTCTTGGTTTGGAAAGACAGGTGCCTGCTAAGGAAGGCAGGAGCCTCCCCTGAAATGGAAAAATGTAAACCCCCTCCCTTTGAATTGTTATAAATTTGAAATTAAGGGGGGCTCTCAGGCAAAAATATGGTAGCAGGAATAACAATTCTTTATTAGGGAAGAAAATAAAAAGATAAAATAAACAATGCAGTAAACTAAAACAACACTGACAGAGTCAGAACACAACCTGACACCCTGTTGGTCAGGGTGTTGGTAGCAGTCCAATTGGAATTGTGGCTGCAGTCCTCCTGGAGTGTCAGATGTGGTTCTGTTGGAACAGTGATCTTGTAGAAAGGTGTAGTCTTCCTCTGAGGATCCAGTGGAAGAGGCAACTGTTCCTCTGGGAAATCCAGTGGAGAAGCCCTGCTGGTGTTCCAGAATCTTAAGATTATATCTGGGTAGGAATGCTTGGCTCTTCCCTCTGGGCGGAGCATCTCACAATGGGATGCTATAGTTCTTATCAGTCATGCAGTGACACTCAATAGCCTGTTATCAGCAGATGTCTCCCCAGAGGGAGGATTGGTTGTGGAAGAGATAAGGAAAACTGCCCACTTAACAGAAGACAGCTGCCATACAGATGGCAAATAGAATACAATTTGCTTGGAAATCCAGGACAGGCATGCAGTGACAGGAGAAGGGGGAATTGCCTTAAGCTTAAGGAGAGGAAGTTTAGGTTAGATATTAGGAAGAGATTCTTTACTGTGCGTGTGGTGAGGCCCCAGCACAGGTTGCCCAGAGAGGTTGTGGACACTCCATCCCTGGAAGTGTTCAAGGCCAGGTTGGATAGGGTTACAAGTAACCTGGTCTAGTGGAAGGTGTCCCTGCCCATGGCAGGGAGTTAGAAGCAGGTAATCTTTAAGGTCCCTTCCAACCCAAACCATTCTATGATTATATGATAAGCTGTCGTGATCAGTTTTAAATGTTCAAATGAAAAGTTGGACTATTAACGCCACAATTTAAATGGCAGAGTTCACTATAAAAGCTGCTTTGAAAAACCTAAACCTATATATGTATTTTCAACTGCAATGTGAATTCTATAAAATATATGGCAAGGTAGCATATGATATAAAACAGCTGTATCAAAGCATGAACATATTTTTAAAAGTGAAAATTTTAGATTCTGGAATAGCATGCAAGAGGCCATTAAGCTGTGCTTTTAACTACATGCATGTGTTTATAAGTAACAGGATTCTCAGCCTGCAGTAGCAATGGGGAACTGCTGTGCTGCTACCACACTAAGATATGAGTTACTAAATCTGCACAGATCAGGAACCTTCTGACAGTTCTCCTTCACAGAACCACATTTTGTTTCAGCCCACAGGGTGCCAAGTCTTCTCAGCATTAAACCTCTCACCACTGCTGTGACCTGAATTGTTCTACTTACAGCCCACAGAATTTCACCCTTAGTGCATTACAAACCCCCTACATATATTTTCACCTGGCTGGATTTGCATGAATTTAATCGTATTTATCTGTTATTAAAAGTAGAATATTATAATGCATTAAACTATTCTTTATCATTTAATGTCAAATAAGAGGGAAGAAACAGCAGTTTTAATATATTACTGTTAGATGTTGACAATTCTGATCAACTAAGGCACAACTATAGATGCTGATCAAGCCATACTTAAGTCATTGAACTACATTTACTTACAGTGCATTAGATGTATGTATTATCAGTGAAAAAAGCGAGAAGGCCAGCATAACTTAAATATTTGAATTCTAATGTGCAATCAGTGTAAAGTGTTATGAACACTGCCCCAAGGGCACAACTTCCTATACCTGTATTATGCTATTGGACAGTGGACAATCAGAATTCACTCCAGCTTCAAAATAATATACATAATGGACTATAATCATTCCAATCCCCCTGAAAATTGCATTCTGTGGCTAGTTTTTTCAGCACCTTAGTTAATTTAACTTGATTATAACTGGAAGCATCTGACTATGATTTAGGCATGCTTATTGCTGTAAAAAAAATAAGCCCACTTTTGAACTTATTGTGCAAGTATTTTAATAAGATTTGCACACATCTCAAAGAATTCTATTGTATGACTCCCTGGTCTTGGAATTAATTCAGCCTTAGAAGAATCAATCAAAGAGGTTGCTGATGGTGTAAGGGACATATCTTCAGATTTTCCCTGTGCATCGCCATCTGAATCTTTTTGACAGGATCTACAGTTGCTCGCAGAACCTGATCTCTGTGGAGTTGCAGTCCCAGATTTTGCTTCAGCAATTTCATCTGGGGGACAATTGGAGAGAAGAGGAAAATTAATCATAAGAACAGCAAACTTCCCTTTTTCACACTTCCAGTCTTGATTTTCTTAAATGTTGATTAATACATAAACAGCTTTTGCAACTGTATGTAGTCAATACAAAATTAAAGCTTACACATCTATCAACAGAATTAAATGTCCTTATGCAAATTATTCTTGTGCTTTGAACTGTGCTCCAGGACTATCTCATCTAGTTTAGACCAGCACTCACCACATTTTTCATGAAGTAGTTTCAGCAGCTAATAGTCAAATAGATTTAGCTTAAACTTAAAACAGAAACGTGACAGCATCAAAAGGTTAAATTAAATAACAATTTGAACATTATGTAGATGCTTTTTGATAGTATTTTATTTGCTTTCTTTCTATTTGGTTATTCATACTTTGTATTTCCTTATAATTCATTGATACATTAAATGCTAGCATCTACATCCTTCATTTTTGGAAGTTTTTCTCTTTAATATGCATTTGGGCTGCAACAGTTTACTTCTAAGATGGAAGCATTTCTACCTCATACTGAAGGTAATTTTCTGCTGAAGTATCTCTATTCTTACTTTAAATACTCAACATTAGTTTTGACCTGCACCTGTCACCAGAAAAAGTTATTTCTAAGAGAAGTTAGTGAACACAGAAGACATTGAGTGTTCACATCAAAGCTATGTTAAACTACAGTTTGCAAGAGGGATAGAGAATGGCTAGCTGTGGTGGAGGCCAAGTCAGATCAGCTTTACTGTTGGAAGAGAGATGCCAAATCCATGCCCTCGGCTTGTATTTCCTCAAGAGTTGAGGCCAGGACTGCAGCTGCCCCAGCTGCATGGCTCTAAGCAGTCATCTCCCCTTCAGCAGAAATGGCATTTGTCTTATGCTACAGTAGAGGTCAGTGCAGGAAAGGGATTAATGCCCTGTATCAAATACTACTAGATCTGAGCAAGCACTTGTATGGTTAGAAGGGACAAGGCAAGAATTGCATTGCCAAGTCAGATCAGGTTAAACTGCCATGAGACTCAGCCGTAGCCATCCTGTACTGTAATCCAGCCATGTTCCAGTAAATCCTTTTTCCATTACAGGTTTTCCTAGGCATATCATGTACACTATTGGCTATAAATTGCTTTAGTCTACTATGCTCTTAAACAAGCATTACGGCCAGTCTATACTTGCTCCTCCATTTTCAGGAAGGTATGACTTGCAGTTTGGGCTGGTTTTCACTGGAATGGGTAATTTTTTTCCTAGTAACTAGCACAGGACTATGGTTTGGATTTGTGCTGAAACAGTGTGTGAAAATACAGGGATGTTTTTGTTATTGCTAAGCAGAGCTTACACAGCATCAAGGACTTTTCTGCTTCTCATACCGCCCTGCCAGTAAGTAGGCTGGGGATGCACGAGAAGTTGGGAGGGAACACAGCTGGGACATCTGACTCCAACTGATGAAAGGGATATTCCAGACCATATGACATCATGCTCAGCATATAAAGCTGAGGGAAGAAGGAAGTGGGGGATGTTTGGAGTGATGGCATTTGTCTTCCCAAGTAACTGTTATGCATGATGGAAATGGCTGAACACCTGCCTGCCCATGGGAAGGAGCGACCAAATTTCTTGTTTTGATTTGCTTGCACATGTGGCTTTTGCTTTCTGTATTAAACTGTCTCTATCTAAACCCATGAGTTTTCTCAGTTTTACCCTTTTGATTGTCTCCCCCATTCTACCAGGGGAAAGTGAAGGAGCAGCTGTGTAAGGCTTAGTTCCCAGCTGGGCTTAAACCACAACAGAGTTGTATGCTGTGATATTGTCACTCTATAAAAGTTTTTTCTACAGATCTGTCCAACTGCTTTCAAGACTTCACTTACTGAAAGTGTATGCCCATCTTAAATTTTGTCTACTCCTAGCATTGTTGGGTTGGACTTTGTTGACAGCTAAATCCCCAGCCAGCCCTTCATTCACTCTACCCTACCCTTAGTGCAATGGAGGAGGAGAATTGGAAAGACAAAAGTAAGAAAACTCATAGATAAAGAGCTTACTAAGATGAAGGAAGAAACAAAAAAAAGTCATGCAAAGGCAACCACATGCCACCTCCTATAAGCATCCTAACACCCAGCCAGTCTCCGAACAATAGCTACCTTCCCCAAACTCCCATCTACTCAGATTTTTTGCTAAGCATGACATCATATAGCATGACATCACTTTGATCAAGCCAGGTCAGCAGTTTAGGTTATGTCCCCATAAAACTTCTTATTCACCCCCAGCCTACTCATTGGGTGCACCACAGTGAGAAAACAGAAAGACTAGATACTATGCAAGTACTGTTCAGCAATAGCCAGAACACTGTTTTAGTCAGATCAAAACCACAGCACCATACCAGCTACAATGAAGAAAGTTAAATCCATCTCAGCCAGATGCAGTACAGCAATGCACAGCTAAAGTTAAATTTGCATGCCTAAATGCCAAACTTTATCTTCACTAGGAAAATATGTTCCCATACTTACTTCAGATCTAAATTAAAGTTTAAATTTGGGGGTGAGGCCACAAAACCAGTTTAGGTTGATTCAAAACTCACCTTCAACAATCCTTCCCCTTTTGCACCAGCAATATTAGTGCTGGTGCAGACACAAAATGGAGCAGTTTGAGAGTTGATATAGCTAAAAAGTGATTATTTAAGGAATGAAACAGCTAACCATCTGATCATAGGAACACTAGACAAGGAAGGAATAAAGAAACATTAATGCAGATCTAGCTTGGCTTAAACTAATAAAGGACAACACATCACTTATAAACAAGTAAGTTAAGACATGTTTGCATTTAATACTATTCCCGTTACAAGTCCATTGACTTATATAAGTCTTTACATACCATCAATGCTACGGAAGTCCAGTAAGTACGTCCTGCTATCCACCTGATACAACTGTAGACTCATTTTGGAATATGCACTTGTCACTGGATTCTTGCTTCGAACACGCAGATAATATGGATTTACAACCTAGTACACAAGAGATTTGACTTAGTAACTAGAACTGTTTTAGAAGCACTGCACATAGTTTTTCTTATTTCAAGTCACTGATGTTATTAAGTGATTTCAGGTTTACCTGATGGAGTTTTTATTACCAACAAAAACACACCAAAAAACCCTCAAACAAAACACCCTACTCAACGTATTTCCAGAGCCCCAGTAGAAAGATTAAACACGTTAGCAAGATTATTCCTGCCAGCATAAATAGCCTTCCTCCCCAAACCGTTCCTGCACAGCAAACACAAGTAGTCAGTACAGGCATAGAAGACTATTTTCCACAGCACAGGAGAAGACAGTTTCATACTTCAAGGCCATGTTATTACACAGCTCAAAAAAAATGTACTGTTGTCTGCTGTAAAGACCCTTTATTCTTTACCTTCCATTCATAATCCAGTTGTTTGATTGCTCGACAAACTTCAGACATGATATCATTTGGTCTACTCTGACTCCGTATTCCCAAGTGCCACTTGGCTCTTCTTACACCTTGGTGTTTTGACTTCTGTGGATTCAGCTCATCAAGAGTATGGCGGGGACGTGGTGCTTCAGCTTCTAAGAATGGCACTCTTTCAGGATGAGGTCGAGACAGATTGTGATCATCAAGAAAAAAATCCGGTGGGCTCGTAGCCAAGTAGAAGTCTTTGGCCTCATTCATTATTCTCCTATTATCTATAATGAGGTGATAAGCAACCACTAAAGGATCCTGATGATTTTGGCTGTACAGAAAACTTAGCACTTCTTCTTCAGCGCATTCAAACTTCTCACACACTTCTTTTAAGGCTTCATCATCAATCATGGTAGAACTATATGACGGGTCTTCAGGAAACAGGTACTTGGGAAGGTCCTGCTTAAACCATTCATGTTGTCTAGATTTAAAAATAAAATCTGAGTATATATATGCAAAGTAAGCATTTTTATTATTAAATTATTTTTAAAATAAAATTATTCTTAGTCTATACAAAAAAGATCAACAGTTGTCAATACAAGTCCCCTTCTGTGCAACACAACAGTACATAGTGAAAAGTAATCATCTCCTTCACAAGATTTTGCTAGACATTTTGCAGGAGACTGAAAAATGCCTCTTTCTTCTAAGGGTTTCAACTACCTGATTTTGAATAATATCTTTGTATAAGTCAACCAGCTTTTTATATAAATAGATGTGGTTTTGGCCTTGGGTTTGTAGTTAGAGGTAGTAAAAAGAAAAATAATTTTAGTTTTGAGATATTTTCAACTGAAATATATATGCCACCCAATCAAAGTTGTCCCTCCCCAAGTACATACATAAGAATACTTAACAAATTAAAGAAATCTTGATACTGAATATTTTTTTTTAGTAGATGTTTGAACACTGAAGTCACATGCTCCCCACCCCCAACAAGCTGCCTATGAGTTTTCCATTCAGAAAACCCCTGCTGTCTCTTCAAGCCTTAAAGAGTTGAGGGAAGGCTACAGAAGAGTTGATCTGTACCTCTTTACTAGTGTATCCATAGGCTAAGAGTGAAAAGGAAATATATAGAAGGAACCAAATACTTAGGTTGCCCAATCATACAAAAATAAATAATTTTGTGTGCCTAGAGTAAGCTGTTTAACTAGTCATAGGATACGATATGATGCTAATTTTATAAGTATTCTATTCTAGAGCATAAAGAATTGCTACAGATTTAAGAGCAGTTATATTGATCAAGCTCTAGTCAGTATGAGCCTGAGAACATGCCTCAGCACAACTGAATTGAGCAAAATGTACTTGCATCATATGAAAGCAATTAACTTAGAAGTAGAAAAAGTTTTTCCTATATGATTATAAAGCACAGCTCTAGCTGAATAACTGAATATTTTGTCACTATTTGTTACAGTGGGCCTCTTTCTTTGCATGCACATACCACTAGAAAAATTAAGGGAGTCAATTAAAGTCAAAATTTTATCTTTTAAACTGAGATGATGTTTCATAGCTAACAAGACAAAATTGTTTAGGATTCAAAAATCCATCCATGCTCTGTAGTCAACAATTTTCAACATCTTTTTTCATATCACTTCTCTTTTGGACTTATTTAACATGACTTAGATGAAGGGATAGGAACTTAGCTTAAGTTTTACAATGTTCAGTTCTCAGTGCTTTGATTTCTGCAAGGCTTCTCAATGACTTCTATGCCTCAGTCTTCAACAGCAAGTGCTCCAGCCACACCCCCCCAAGTTAAGCAAGGGAGTGGGAGAATGAAGACCCTAAGCCTACTGTAGAAAAATATCAGGTTCAAGACTATGTAAAGAACCTGAATGTGCACAAGTCCATGGGACCCAATGAGATTCATTCATGGGTCCTGAGGGAGCTGGCAGAGAAAGTTGCTAAGCCACTATCCATCATTTTTGAAAAATCGTGGCAGTCAGGTGAACTTCCCAAGGACTGGAAAAAAGGAAATGCAATTCCCATTTTTAAAAAGGGGAAAGCAGAAGACCCAGGGTACTACAGCCCAGTCAGTCTCACCTCTGTGCCAGGCAAGATCATGGAGCAGATTCTCCTGGAAATTATGCTAAGGCACATGGAAAACAGAGGTGATTGTTAACAGCCAAAATGGCTTTATAAAAGGGAAATCATGCCTGACAAATTTGGTGACCTTCTGTGACAGGGCTACAGCATTGGTAGATAGGGAAGAGCAACTGGCATCATCTGCCTGGACTTGTGCAAAGTGTTTGACACTGTCCCGCATGACATCCTTGTCTCCAAATTGGAGAGACATGGATTTGATGGATGGCCCACTCGGTGGATAAAGAGCTGGCTGGTTGCATGCAAAGAGTTGGGGTCAACAGCTCATTGTCCACATGGAGACCAGTGATGAGTGGTGTCCCTCAGGGGTGGGTACTGGGGCCAATACTGTTCAACATCTTTGTCGACAACATGGACAGTGGGATTGAGGGCACCCCCAGCAAATTTGCTGACACCATCGAGCTGTGTGGTGCAGTTGACACAATGGAGAGAAAGGATGCCATCTAGAGGGACTTTGACACGCTTGAGAAGTGGGCCTGTGTAAACCTCATCAAGTTCAACAAAACAAAGTGCCAAGTCCTACACCTGGGTCAAAGAAATACCAGGTACACCTACAGGTTGGGCAGAGAAGTGATTGAGAGCAGCTCTGCAGAGAAGGACTTGGGGGTGATAACTAATGAAAAATTCACCATGAGCTGGCAGTCAGCACTCACAGCCCAGAAAGCCAATGGAATCCTGGGCTTCATCCAAAGGAGCATGGCCAGCAGGGTGAGGGAGGTGATTCTCCCCCTCTGTTCTGCTCTTGTGAGACCCTACCTGGAGTACTGCATTCAGGTCTGGTGTCCCCAACATAAGGACATGGATTTGTTGGAGCAAGTCCAGAGAAGGGAGACTAACTTGATAAGAGGATTGGAGCACCTTCTCTATGAAGACAGGCTGAGAAAGTTTGGGCTGTTCAGCCTGGAGAACTCATAGCACCTTCCCCTATCTGAAGGAGCCTACAGGGAAGCCAGAGAGGGACTCTTTGTTCAGAACTGTAGTGATAGGACAAGGAGTAATGGGTACAAATTGAAAGAGGGGAAACTTAGGTTAGATATTAGGAAGAAATTCTTTATTGTGTGGGTGGTCAGGCACTGGGACAGGTTGCCCAGGAGGTTGTGGATGCCCCATCCCTGGAAGTGTTCAAGGCCAGGTTGGATAAGGCCTTGAGCTATAGAGAGTAAGACAGAGAGTACAGTGGAACTGATAAAGGAGCCTGATATCTTAGGCCTGATTGAGCAGAAACCATAGGAGAGACAGACACAGATCTCTGGTGTAGAAGTGACCAAGAGACATGTTGTGAAACTTTGTGATAAGATAATGATTACCAGGTAACGGATGTCATGTGTAACCAACAGGAAATTGTTACCAAAAATAGAACCCTATATAAGTGTCATACAAGTCAACCCTATATAAATACTTTGTATTCTCAATAAAAATCGGCTTCTGATTCAAGTTCAGATGTCCCTGTCTCTCCATCGCCAATAATTGGTAGCCCCGTGTGAGGAGCAAGAACCAGCCTATCTGGCTGCAGTCAGCGAGCCCCTCAGAACTGGAAGTGCTAGTGCAAGAACCAGGAGCGGGCCCAAAATAATCTCTCCACGAAGAAGGAGGTGAGCCAGGGGGAACATGGGACAAAGCATGTCTAAAGAAAGAGGCGTTTTTAAACTAATGCTTGCTTTGCTTGTAAAACATGTCAAGTCCTTGCCAAAGCTGACTTGAAACTCATTCTAAAATGGGTGGCTGTTAAACGTTCTGACATCGCTGACTCCACTATTTTTACAAGTGCTGTTTGGGATGATGTGGGAGTTAAGCTCTATGATTTAGCCACTACAGGACACAAGCTGGCAATGTGTATGCTCCCATCCTGGAGAATGATTTTTGAGACATTGAAAAAGCAAGAGCAGTCTCAGGCTGTATCCTCTGCAGATACCGCTGGCCTCCTACCCCACTCTGACTCTCCCTACCCACTTGAAACTGGTGCCCCTCATACTGAAGAGTGGCTGCAGCCATCAACCTCCCCTCTGCCCAGATAAAGGAGGGGAAGGCATCCTGTCTCACGGTTGTTAACAGCCTAGATTGCTACTTGCGGCTCTAGCAGTGAGGAGGACAGGGACCCCATCGATCTGGGACCTTCAGATTATGAGACTGATCTATTCCCTCTTGACCCTCATGATAACTGGATGCGGTTAAAGAAAAAGGCTCTTAAGGAGGGAGATTTTGATATCGCAGCAAAAATAGTCACGCCGGTCAGGCTTTGCGGCACCAGGGGAAACAACCCACAGTGGGAACCCCTCGCTATTCGGAAATTAAGGGACTACGCCACACGGCTACAGAACACGGGCTAGGGTCTCTCTATTTTGTTAATCTTTAACAGTCTACATTGTCAACTCATCCTATGACCCCCTCATGATTTAAAGGGACTGGCGAAAGTATTATTAACCCCAACTCAGTATGCTATTTTTGATGCTTAGTGGAAGAAGGGGTTAGAAGTTTTGCTTGTAAGGTATGTAGGGCATACAAACCAGAATATCACAGCCCTCATGATTGACCACCTGGCTGGGGAAGGGGCTCACTCAGACCCTGTGGGGCAAGCCCGCATTCCTAGAGAAGCCCTTGAGGGCATTACTGAAGCTGCGTGTATCACATTTTTAAAGGTTCCCAATGCTGCGACCCCCCAAAAAGTATTTACTACTGTAAAGCAAGGACCAGATGAATCTTATATGCAATTTATTGACGGCTTAAAACAAGCTTGTGAAAGACAAATTGAGAATGACATTGTCAGAGAGGTGTTGCTTTTAAAATTAGCTGTTGAAAATGCTAATGAGGACTGTAAAAAACTGCTTAAGTCCTTGCCTAAGGAGGAACCCACCCTGCTGGAAATGATTGAGGCATGTAATTGCCTCGGCACACTTCAGCATACAGCAACAGTTACTTATGAGGCTGTGGGGGCTGGTATAGCTAATGCCTTTGCAGCTTTGAAGATTATGCCAGGGGACCCACAAACATGCTTCGGGTGCAAAAAATCTGGGCATTTGAAAAAGGACTGTTTCCAAAAGGGGGAGGCCAGATCCAAAGCTCACAGTATTTGCCCTCAGTGCCATAAAGGAAGGCATTATGCTAATCAATGTCATTCCAAGTATGATTTTGAAGGGCATCCGATATCAGGAAACTGGAGCTGAAGAACGGGGTGGCACCGCGCACAGACACAAATGCCCCAGTGGATGCCTCAGAGCAGAACACAGCAAGCCTCAGCCCAGCCACTGCCACAAGCAGCCTTTGCCGGACCGTTGCCGATTTACAACCCGCCACACCAGGAAGCACTGGACTGGACCTGGCAACCTCCAT